AGAAAGAGTGAGAGGCAGGAGAAGGAGAAGAGAGAGAGATGGAGGGAGAAGCAGAAGGCGGAGGAGAGCTGAGAGAGACGGGGGGAGGCAGTAGGAGGAGAGAGAGAGAGAGACAGAGAGAGAGAGGTCAGGAAAGAAGACCTGAAAATCCCGTCTTATGGCGGGCTAATTGGCTAGTTTTACTTATGTCTGATTTATAATTCAATAGTGATAGTAAGTCATATTTTAATTACCATTAAAAAGTTTAAAACAAGGAACTAATAAAACATCAGTATCAAAACACTTAGGGTATGTCTACACTACCCCGCTAGTTCGAACTAGCGGGGTAATGTATGCATACCGAACTTGCTAATGAAGCCCGGGATTTGAATTTCCCGGGCTTCATTAGCATAAAGCCGGCGCCGCCACTTTTAAAAGCCGGCTAGTGCGAACCCCGTGCTTCATTAGCAAGTTCGGTATGCATACATTACCCCGCTAGTTCGAACTAGCGGGGTAGTGTAGACATACCCAAACAGATTTGTTCCTGCCTTTTGGTTGTCCCTTATTTTGTTTGCCCTCTGCAAAAGTCTAAGTTTAAAATAGAAACACAAATTTTAAATTCCCATCTGTCATTTTTTCATCTTTTACCTTCACATGTGTTATATCAAATGCACGTATGGTGTAGCTAGAAGACTGGTTGACATCTTTTATTTCAACTTCTATGCCTTCATATGTTTGTTTTCCTTCTCCCCAATACTGTGCACAACGTTGCTAGAAATGAAAAAGGTATAAATCAGTCTTTCATTGCTTTTGCCTTTCTTTCCAAATTAATTTTTAGGATGCATACATTCTATAAATGCTCAGTTTCATTGTATTTTAAAATACATTACTGATGAACTTCTGTTGTGTATTCAAAAATGCATTTCTGTATCATTTAAAATAGAAAGATAAATATGTTCATAAAATGTAAATCTTATTAGAAAACAAAATAATTGATAGGGTGAATCACTTTCTAATAGAGTCACATTTTTGGTTTGGAAATTAAAATATCATTGCAATTTAGAGATTGGAATTCTATTATTTTCTCTTATAAAGAGTATCATATCAATTTACTCTGAAGATGGTAGACTAACCTGGTCTCCTTCCTTGAGGTCTGTCAACATAACTATGACTTTGACTTTTCTTTGGAAGACCATATGCCAGAAGTCATTGATCGTGTCTGGTAGTGGCCCTTGTGTTGCAATCATTTCTTTTGGACCCCAGTATCCCTAAAAAAGACCATTTCAACACACGATTTAATTATTATTATGAATTCATCTGAAAGGCAGTTGTCATGCATAAACAAGTATTTACCCTCTAAAGGAAGTTTGTAGCCTACATGAAATGAATTAATGGTTTTAGTATATTTTCTAAAGGACAATTATCCATTTTACAAAAATAAAAAATCATCATAAAGGTCAAGAGTTAATGTGCATAGGATTGATGTTCCCTAAGTAGCAGTCCTTCCTACAGGGCAAACTTGAGATACATTTACACAGACAGGGGAAAGCGTTGACTGCCAATATCTGAGACAACATGCATTTTGGGATTAAGTAGAAGGATTCGCTTTCCATGGCTGGTATTGGAAACTGATACTGAGTGAAGCCTTTTGCAAAATCAGTGTTGGTAAGCAAGTCAATGCCTACTCACATTGTATCTATTAGTAAATAGGTATTTACAATAAATAGCTATGCTAACTATTTTTGTCTACAGAAGTCAGACAAATCCAATTCACTGCATAATCCAATTCACTATATAATCTTATAACCATTTATATCCATTAGTGTCCAACAACTGCCCTCCAAACATGGTGTCTTTTAGATCTGAATGTGACACTAAAAGCTTGCTTTTCAGTGCCGTCCTGTTTTCACTAGGCCAAATTTGTAACCACAAAAATTGCATAAAATTAACTTTTGAAATTAAAATAAGGGAAATTATATCTATCAATCTATCTATCCATCCATCCATCCATCCATCCAATCTACTTAGGGCTGTTTGCATTGGAGTATTTAACTCTGAGGCTGCATTGATTAGGACAGTGTAGAGTAAGAGTTCTGCCTTTCTCCAATGCAAATATAACAATAGTTTTGTGATTAAGTCTATAAATGAACAATCAAATAAAGTGCCAGAACTTGATTGCTTTATACACATAACTAGTACCATGCTAATGAAACCATTACGATCAATGGAGACGGTAAGATGAGAAGAAATTGATGCATAGCTATTATCAGTGGAAAGCATTTTAAATATAAGAAGTTTTACCCTCTAAATACATACAGTTATGAATGATGCATTGATGTATCTGCTTGCTTCCTCACAATCACTGTCCTCATCAGATGATTCCTCTGAATCATGTTCACTCTCCCTGCTTTTCTCCTCTTCCTGTTTAATTGGTACTCTGTTAAAGTCATCTGAGGGAGAAAAGTGTCCATTGTTATAATGAGAAGAAAATGTAGAAAAAGTGCAGTTCTTCATCAGTTATGTAATGGCATAGAGGCTACAGATATAACAATATGGTTGTTTTAAAAAAAAAATCAAGGACTCCTCACAATTTATATTCTAACAAATAATTCACTTCCTAAACTTTCTAGAATGACATACTTAAACATAAATACATATCTATATGGTATTTTACTGTTTTATCCATAATCCTTTCTAAGAAGCCTTCATACAATTAGAATAAATTGACTGCAAACATCAGTGCAAATACGTACATGGAATCATTTTGGAATTCCGGTTTTTACTTTTATTTTCCTGTCGATTGCCAGTGTTCTGTCCCCGCCATCCCCTGTACGATGGTAGCCTCTAAGAAAAGAAAGCATTCAAGGTCACACCATGTACCAAACAATGGTGTTTGCCAGCTTAATAAAATAGTGACACTCTCTGATGTCCATCTCCTCTCAGATCTCAGCTCATCACTGCTTCATTTCATTCTGGACCACAATTTCATATCCCTGAACCTACCAGATGCAACACCACAAGATATCATGTAGATGGAAACAATGTAAAGATTGCTGCTGTATTTTATGAACAATATTAATATAGAGGAGGGGAAAATTGCTATTTTAAAGATATTTCATCACTTTAAACATCTTCCATGAATCAGAGTTAATGTATTAAGTCTGCCAGAGTATATATATCACAGAAAATACATCAGTGTAATGATCTAACAGATATGGTACCCATTCTTTGTGAGCATCATAAGCAAACTGATTTCTTGGCTACTACATGAATAACTAGTGGTAATCTGCACCCTCAAATCCTCATTGGTACGAAGATATTATTGCTACAAATATATTGCTAACTTTAGCTTCAATTATTTGAAACATGTTACCTCTCCCTAAGGTCTGGATCCTACAAGCTGTTCTACTCAAGCTTTGTTTACACTGGCAATTGAGTGACAAAGCTTTTGTTGTGCACTGGTGCTTAACCTCCTGACTGGCCCCTTCCCAAAGGACAAAAGCTTTGCCTATAGCAAAGAGTACTGTATATATTGTGCTTTGTCAGCTGGAATTTTCTCCTGCCTACAAAGCAAATGCCCCTTGTGGTGAGTGGGAGATTTTGTCTACAAAACTGCAACAAAGCATTTACACTGCCAGTCTTTTAGCAACACAGACATGTTGCTAAAAGCTGTGTAGTGTAGACAAACCCCTGGGCAGTTGCTTGTTCTGCTTCCACATGGAAAAGCTTGCAGGGTCAGAGCTTAAATCTCTAATTTTACACACACTCCTGGCTTAGCCGCAGGAAATTATATATTTGTCCTTTATATTTTGCCTCTAGTTTCTCATAAGGAAAATGAAATAAAACTATGGAAACTAAAGGCAAGAACTGAAAAAAATGCACATATTTTCTGTAATATTTTTCCCCAAAAATGCAAAATATCAATTTACAACAAAAATACTTTAACAAATAAAACTCATTATGAATATTCTCAGGCCAGATTCTTGTAAACTGACCTAGTTCAGTTTAAGACAGTGAAACTATGCTCGTTTACACCAGATGACTATCTGGCCTCATCCATCTTCCCCAGCAACCAAATATAGGATCTAATTCTGCCATCCTCACTTTGAGCAGTTCCTTAGTCTGATGATTTTATTTAAAATTCAAAAATACACTGGTTTAGTTTTCAGAATTTGGCTCTGAATTATTGGCTTATTTAAATCCAGATTACTGCATGTCACTTTTTTGTTTACCATCAGAAGAGAGAATGCAATAAATCAGAATGAACTGGGCTATTTACCTGGAATTCTGCTTCCAGCAATGATGGGTCACTCTGAGGATCTCGTTTCTTCAGATTACTAAGGTAGGTGTGTAGTTCAGCGAGAGTGACCTCTGTTTCACCAAACTGATTGTACTCCACCAAGGCTTGATGGATCAGGATGTACTGTGCCTAGTGTCCCACAATAAAAGGATGAGGTGAATTTCCAAAAATTGCAAATAATAATTAAAAATAAGAGATATTTTAAATTGCTCTAGCTACCTAAAAATACAATATTTATGTATTCTTATTACTATTGTTATACTAAATTAGCTGTGTTTAGTCAATTAAATGCTGTATTAACATTGTATTAGTGCAACATTTTATGTTTTTAACCAAAAGTGTTGTATAAATAAAATGTAGCATAACTTAGATTGTCCAATGAAGAAATTGGGGCAGGAGAGAGGCTCTGGAGGCCAAATTTAGGCTGCTAGGAAAGAGATGGAAATCCAGGACCTCTTTGGTAGCATTCTCTGAAATACTTCCAGTTCCATGCGCAGGGCCAGGTAGGCAGGCAGAGCTTCAGAGTCGATGGTGTAGAGGAGGGGTTTAGATTTGTAAGAAACTGAGGAAACTTTTGGGATAGGGTGAGCCTATACAGTAAGGATGCTTCCAGTTCCACCTAAACCAAAATGGAATCACTTAACATTAAAAAGGATGTAGAGCATCTTTTAAACTAAGGTTTGGGGGAAAGCCGACAGGTGTGGAGGAGAACATGGATTGGACAGAGAGGAGGTTCTATTAATAGAGATGTTCTAGTCAGGAGGAGAGGATGGAAATATGGGTCGGATCAGATGAGACAGATAAATAGTGACAAATTATTGAAGTGCTTATACACAAATTCTAGACGTCTAACTAGTAAAATGGGTGAATTAGAGTGCCTAGCTTTAAAGGAGGATATTGATATAATAAGCATCATGGAAACTTGGTGGAATGAGGACAATCAATAGGACACAGTCATACCAGGGTACAAAATATATCGGAAGGACAGAACAGGTCATGCTGGTGGGGGACTGGCACTTTACGTGAAAGAAAATGTAGAATCAAATGAAGTAAAAATCTTAAATGAGCCCAAATGTTCCATACAATCTCTATGGACAGTAATTCCATGCTCCAATAATAAGAATATAGCAGTAGGGATATATTATCGACCACCTGATCAGGACAGTGTTTGGCTGTGTCTACATTGGCACCCCTTTCCGGAAAAGGGATGCTAACGAGACACTTCGGAATTGCAAATTCCGCGGGGGATTTAAATATCCCCCCGGGATTTGCATGAACATGGCTGCCACTTTTTTCCGGCTCGGGGTTTTGCCGGAGAAAAGCGCCAGTCTAGACGGGATCTTGCGGAAAATAAGCGCTTTTCCGGAAGATCCCTTATTCCTACTTGAAACTGGCACTTTCAAGTAGGAATAAGG